GATCTTTTTGGAGTTGGCTCAAATCGAGGTTATTGGGTTAACTTATTTCGGAATCATGCTTACATGCTCCATTTCTTAAACTGCTTTGGTATTACTCTAAAATGTGTGTTACTAAACTAATTTACATTCGCGCAAGATGAGCACAAATAACTTGTTAAAGATTTTTCTTCTTGTAACTGAATGCAATGTCGGCTAAAAATGGGTTAGCTGAGGAACCGGAGAGGATTGACCACAAATCACATAGGCAGATAGCTCGTCTCGAATGGAACTGACTTCGTACGTGGCTGCTAGGAAGCATTAGAAATGCGCTGAGCAAAAGGTTCCCACAGCACCCTGGCAATGCGGAAGTCTTTGGGCTGATTGGAGGCGGCCATTGAACTGTGTCCAGAAATCGGGTTTTCTTGGTCTTCTGGTCTTCTGGTCCAGATGGGCTCGCCTTCACTGCGGCCGAGAACCTGGAATCATTCACCGCACGCCATTGGAGCACATCGGTCCTGCGTCTTTTCGCTTGGGCAACATCATGTGCAAGTTCACCAACCGGCTGTTTGTCTTCGCCCTGCTGCTTGTGGCATTTGGAAGAATTCTGGCCCAACCCGTTGGCGGAAAGATTAGGCCGGGGAATTCGAGGAACGTGGTCAGCGACTTGCTGGAGGTCTTATACGACGACTATTCCGAGAATGGTTTCCAGCGCGAGGACATTCTGTACGACCAACGGCAAAAGGGAACGGAGAACTATCAGTTCAAAGTGGATGGGGTCGTCATCGGATTGGCGCCTCAAATGAGTTCCAGCTTGCTCTACTCAATGGCGGAGTCTTATTTGAGTGAGTACTACTAAAATAGAATCGCATTACCGTCATAATCGTACTTCCACCTTAGGTGAAATGATGTTGCGCCAATCTACGCCAAACCCAGATTCAACTCAAATTTACGAAAGGGATCCTGAGACCGATTCAGATTCTGGATCCAGCGAGGGCGTTACTAAGAATCCTGACTTAGCCCAAATTGATTTGGAAAGCAGACAACATCAAATTGTAGCTCCACAAACTGCCAGCCGGTTAGTACAGCACTTATATCTTAATCTGCACAGACAACTAATTAAAGGTGGTTTTTGCTCAGATCTAAAACTCAACTGCTCCAGTTGCTTAAGATGCTCAAAAGTTCTAAGGCCTGAAATGATATCTTCAGATAATACGACAATAAATTAGTTCCAAGAGCTCGGAAAATACACCTAAAATATAACCATTCTTTGAATTCAAATTTCCGTTGATCCCATTAGTAGGGTTCTAAGGCTCTAAGATGATTCTAGTGTCCTTGGTTCCACTGTACAGATAAACACAACTTGGAATATTAAATTTCCATCACTTTTCCATTAAAAATATATAAATAATGAAAAGTCTGACTTAGGATGTTTTTTTTTTTACTCGGTAGGTAAGCTTTCTTAAAAATGTCAGCAAAAGGACATCGATATTCTACCTGTTGATTACGGGGTACAAATAATCAAATCAAAGATCGAAGGGTGGTAGATGTTCGGATATAGGATTCATGATTGTTGTTATTTTTAACTTTTTCCACAATTGGGCCATCAAATTTGAAAAATCATTCAAGGTCCTAGACTTATGCGTTTTGTGGATTGATTTCGACGAGGACATTGTTATCCAAACTTATCCCCAGATTGGACTATATTGCCAGGATTAATATACATAAAATAAAAACCGGACGGTTTTCAAAATTTGCATTTTGCTGGTTTCGATATCGATAAGAGACTCACTCACGCATGAGTGGAATATTTATGTCGTGAAAATATCGATAATCCGGCGGGATTTTAAGTAAAGCAAAGTTTGAACGTATAAAATACTAAAAGTAGTGAGTTCGATAGAGCGCCAATGAAGGCAGCGTAAAAATATTCTCATTATCGATACCTAAAGTATTATTAAACTTTGCCAAAGACCAGCTTTGGCATTACTATACAATTTTGGGGATAGATTAACTGGTGCGGCCGCCCAGCAAGTAGAACCGTGATTTGCAATAATTTTGAGCCTCACCCATTCAAGAACCTTCGAGCAACTAGTTCGCATGGTATATAAACCTGCTCTCGCCTCAGCTGCACACTTGTATACACAATCGATCGCCCGAACAAATACGACGCAGTAGTCGAGAACTCCAAATTAATATAATCCGTCACATAAATTCGCTGCGAAAAGTTAAACAAGATTAACCGCATCAGCACCGATATTCAAGCATCTACCGAAACTTGTGAAGACATTGCGAAAATGTCTGAGAAGTTGATGAAAATCACCTACCACGTCGCTGGACCCCAGAAGAAAATAAATGCATACTTGAGGATGCCCTCCCTGAATTACACCATATTGCGTCGCGAAATTGAGCTGTATCTCTTCCAGGAACGTCAGTTGCCGAAATGCGACGTAAGGACCTTCTGGATCGGTAAGTTGTGTAATGAAAATGCAGCCGTATATAACTGTGTTCTACATACAAACAGTTAAATGCTGCAGGTACGCAATTGCAATCGAGACCGAAATATTGCAACATACATATATGTATGTATGTGTGTACGTTAGTTTTCATACATTTGTAACTGTATCCGACAAAGCAGTGTTGACCATTCAGCTTTTAAATCTAGCTTTTTCTATTGCAAAAGTATTCCAATTTATTGCGTTGTTTGCCCAAAAAACAGGGATTCACCCAGATAGTTTTGCTTATCATTGGCAAAAATGTGTTGACACATTAGCTGATAATTATTTTTATGGAGTTTTTGAAGTACATACGTGGTCAACATAATAGTTGCTCGATACAAATGTTCAATAAATTGCACAAATGTTTACTTAAAATACAAACTTGTTAGATCTTCAAACTTTCTGATTTTTAAAATTATACATCTTCTAACACACTTTTTGATTTTAAAAGTTATGAAAAATTTAAAAATTTTTGAAAATATACATACATGTAAGTATGTTCATGTATAGATTAAATTGGTCGTGCTGGTATAACCGCAACTGTATCCATTTGTCTAGATAGAGCCCTCCGTGATTCACTTTTGATAACAAAACTGCAGTGACTCATAACTGATTTAATTTTCTTTTGTATTTTCGAACTTTTGCAGACTCTGATCAAGATGAAATCGAAATAGTCAACCAAAATGACTATGAGATTTTCCTGGCCAAGTGCACTATGCACATTCAGGTGGCTCCACTGGTGCCCATAGAGGAGCCAAAGGCCACCAAGCAGGAGGGTTCTTCTGCCAACGCTGAAGGTCCCTCCGCCGACAATCCGAGCAATTTTACCATCCACGACTCCGTTGAATGCGATGGCTGCGGCTTGACTCCCTTGATTGGGTTCCGCTACAAGTGCGTCCAGTGCAGCAACTATGATCTGTGCCAGAAATGCGAGTCGGCCCACAAGCATCCTGAGCACTTGATGCTGCGCATGCCGACCAACAATGGACCCGGTATGGTCGATGCCTGGTTCACGGGTCCAGGATTGGGACGTCGCTGTGGCCGGCGCTCCAGGGGACATTGTCCTTTTCAGGAGACGAGCCAGACAGCTCGGGCTGGCGAATCAACCAGGGATAGTCACCGTGAACGGCGTCACACCCGTCGCCATGGCGGGGTGTTGTCTCAGTTTGTCGAGATGATGACCAACTTGCCGCTGAACGAAACTACGGCCACGGCACCAGCCGAACCGCAGAATTCAAAGGCTGCAGAACAAACACAGAGTTCTCCACAAGCTGAGCCCACTGTTACCGCTCAAAAGGCAACTGAATCCGAGGCCAAACCAACTGAGCCAATGAAGGTAAACACTGATCAAAGTGTTCCTCCAACCAAAGATCCAGTCACGACTCCACGTTCCACTGAGCCAACTACTCCAGTGATTAATCTGGATAACCTTTCGCAGATTGTGCCACCCGAGTACATGCGTGCTGGCATCGAAATCCTTAGCAACTTCAGCGAAATGTTTGCCAAGATGATCGATCCAACAGAAGTGGGTGATTCGGGAATATTTCCACCCTCCATGACTCCCAGTACTGAGAACAAGAAACCTGAAGAAAAGGGTCAATCCAGTGGCCAGTCGGCTGCATCTTCGACCTGTCAGTCAGCTGTTCCCTCTGCTGTTTCATCGGCTAATCAGTCGAATGTCCCATCTGCTAACCAGTCGGCCACTCCATCAATTTCTGGATCGGTCTCTGATGCTCCTGAGACAGAGCCACTGATTCCTAAGCCAACTGATTTGGCAACCACCAGCGAGACAGAGCAGGATAGACGCCGTTCAGACAGCTTGGACCCAGAATGGCAGGTTATTGACAATGCTTACTCCGCAAAAAACACTAACTTGAGCAATCTGGACACAACCAATCCCACTGCTGCTACTCAGCAGCCGGTGAGTGATTTTGGTCAGCTGGGCGAACTTTTGCGTCAGCACATAAATGTGGAGCAGGCTTCGGCCAACACCCAAACTGCTCAAGTGGATACGGTGAGTACATCGACGTCGACGACATCCGTAACCACCAATAGCGTCGGCACCTCTCCAGCAGCTCCTGAGGAAAAGCGCTCTGTACCCGTCTACCACACGGGTAAGTGCCAAAATGAGTACCTAATCGCTTTATATTAATTAACATTCGTATTTAGATGAACGCATCAATCAATCAATCCATGCCATGATGGCCATGGGTTTCAGCAACGAGGGTGCCTGGCTCACCCAGCTCCTGGAGTCGGTTCAGGGCGATATCCCAGCTGCCTTGGACGTAATGCATGTCTCGCAGAACCGCAACTAAACATACATATTCAATATCCATATATCTGTTATGTATCTTCAATTCAAATCTACGTAGCTTAGTTTTTTCTGTGGTGCTATTTTAATCTCGTAACCAAAAAAAAAAGTGGAAATGTATTTATTTTATGTTTTAAATAATCAACAAAATGTTATCGTATGTGAAATTGCAATAAACTAAAAATGATTTAAAATGTCAGTTTTTATCTTGATATGGTTTAGATAAGTAGAGTAAGATTGACAGCCAACAAAAGCCTCAAATTATATAAAATGTTAATACGTATAGTATCAATCGGTTGTGGACTTTTTATAAACAAAATTCAGAGCTCTGATCCGCAAAGCACTTGAAATATTTTTGAGTGATACAAAAATCCGCAATACTGTGTTTCGAAATTGGATTCGGAAACAGCCTGAAGTATTCATGTTCCATTGTGATAAAACTCGCTGGTTGAAAGAGCCTCAAAGATCTTCTCTAGCTTCTGCTGCATCTGGTCCAATAAAATAATAAGTCGCCAAGCCAGCAACATCTCGTACAAATCTCCGAAACTCGTAATTTGCTGTCGTAATGGTGGCAATAAATGTAAAAAATTTGAAGAGTTTCTGGTGGTGTGCCTTCCACTGTCGCCGGCCAAATCCCGTGTTATATCCAAACATTTGAGATACCATTAGAGTGAGGAATCCGACCAATCCGAAAAATCGATGAAGCATTTTTAAGGTGAAGCCACCGTTGATGAAATACAGCGGAAGACCGCTCAGAACGCTACCCAGCAGAAGAGCACAGCCGATTATACCTGATGGGGAAAGATGGAGGCATAAATTATCATTATATTTGGGGAGAGAACAGACAAACCCACCGTAAAAAGCATGGTTGCTCTTAAAGTGGCGAACAGTGGCATTGGGATCTTCCCGTTTGCGCTCCAGCTTCTGCCATGTCTTGATTCCGATTCCGCCAACTCCGACCAGGAACGCCAAAAGCCCCAGGACGGCGTGCAGGCGGTTGAGGTTCAAAGGACCCAACGAGGACTCCAGATATGCGCTATTCCGGACCAGCAGTGCCTCACCCATGAAAAACACAAACTATAGGGAAATATAAGATAAATTGACAGGATTTAAGATGTGTAAAATTATTAGAAAGGGTATAGAAAGCTCACTCAATTTTTTAAGCAGTAATATCCTTTCTCTTTTTCATATTATCTTTGAAATAGTTGAATATGTGTGAGTATAGGGGATATAAATGGAAATCAAACTACTCACGGCGATTGTGCAGTAGAAGGCATGTCCGGCGGTGTGCACCAATTTGAGCACAAGACACTTGTAAACAATGGCTGCGGTGATCCCCGCCAGAAGCACATGTGAGATCAGTGTGCAGAAGCCGAAGTAGAGGCCTCCATAGGAACCATGTAATTCGGCAGTTGTCATTTTGCTGAGGATGCTTTAGTTGCGGGAAAATCCCTTATCTGCTACGCGAGATGCGCACGTAGAACCGATAAGCCAACCGAGAATCGCGACCGCTCCTGGCGGTTGTTAGAACGCTTTTGAGGGCCTGACGGCATGGAACAGCTGGAAAAAGCTCGCGAGTCGCTCTCGCCAGAGAATTCCGATTCCGCCAGTGTGATCCGAAAAGTCACACTTTCAAAGCCAGTGGAGCGCGGCGTTCGCAAAAAGTGACTCAGCGGATCGCCCCGTTCACGTGTTTTCACCTTGGGGCGGGAAAGGCGGCAGCGGCAGCGGCCACAAGTGGCAGCGATTGGCATTGCTCTCCAGCTGGACGAAACGCGAATATCGGTATTTTTGGAGCAATCTAAAACCGGATTGGATAATTGACCGGAGTTAATCATGTTATTCACCATGAGTGATTCCCAAAAGCAGAGTCATATGTGTTAGCATTTCCTAATTACGGAACAAAGTATTGAATTATTGTTGGATTGAACTATATTCGTTGTCTAGTTCTGCGGTTAGAATATACATATGTTGTACATACATACATATAATGGATTACAATAAAGCATATTGTTTAGGTCCACCCTAAATAGTTGTCTGCGATGATCGCTGTTGTGAAATTGCTAACAAAAGCAAAAGCGCGATGAATAAACAGCAAAAGCAAAGCAAATAGAAAGATTAGAATCGCGCAATGTGATCGGGAATATCCCACTATAACACTTCGCTACAGCGCCATTGAAACAATAAAGAAAAAAAAGGGTTTAATACATGTTCTATTTATCTTTTTTATATCAACGGCATCCATATCGAATTAGTAATTTATGAGGTGGCTGGCTTTGATGAGATTTGATGGAAAATACTAGGTAAGTTCTACGATATGTATATACATATTACCTTTGCGTTATCTTAGTCCATTTAATCGACTACATAATAAAATTTCCGCGGGTTCATTTCTTAGTATGTATTTACTTCAGTGATTAATCACAAGATATGGACATAATCGCGACAAATGTATGCCCATGTATGCATTACTATCTAAAATTTAGATTCCAAAGTCTTTCTACCCTCAAAACTCAAACAATACCGAATTTAGTTCAGAATAATAGAAACATTTTGTTCAGCTTTGCATAGTTTTAATTTTATTATGCATACAATAATGTATACAGTTCAGAAAGTGTTTAAAGATTCAAATATTCTTGCATATATCAGCTTTACAATAGTTTTGAAAACCCGTTTTTTCATAAAAACTATTGCTCACTTTTGTCTTTAGATAGTTTTTATAGCCGTCTTGAATTAATTGTAATTGTAGAACTACAGTGGAAAATATGTACATGATAAAATTAATTAAGCCGGAGATCTTAGCATGATCCATTCCGACATATGTATGTATACATATTTATAAAGTGATCACAGCGATTGAAAGCTAACACCTTCCCTAGATTACAGTGTATTCAAAGTAACACTTATAGATTACACAGTACTAAGTAGCACGAGAGAAAAATCAAACGGGGAATCACCAAGAGAAACGCAAAAAAATATATGTACATATTTCTCGGGCATTACTCACCTTAACATTAGGTTGCCGTTTTATTTACCAGGCAGTGTGAAATATAAGCAAGTGACGTCATTATCGGGCAAATGAAGAGAGCCACAAATACAAGTGTATGTATGAATGCTCCACTGAGGGCCCAAAACAACAACAGCTGACTCTGAGAGGAGAATAAAGTTTTCGATATATGTATATGTACATATATATACTTCGCCTAGTCAGTTGCTCTCAGTATTCCGATTCAGAAGCCAGTTCCGTTGGCACTGCAAATCCACAAGTCCAAATAATATTGCCCGAGACGTCATTTGACACACGGAAAACATAAATATTTGTATTCAATTCACGAATAGGGATTTTACGCGAGATCTTCCCAAATAAATCATTTGGGGTTTTCCAAAAACCAGCTCATGTACGTAAATCATTTAAACGCAAAATCTCTATCTGAAATTATTGCGGAAACACGAAGCGACAGTTATTGTTATTATTATTAATTATCGAAAACCCCACACAAAATATACAAAAGTTGTTATAATTTGACTATTGCATGACCATAGTTCTGTGACAAATATCTGAAATATCACTCATCAACACCAACTCTCTGTTGTCTATACAAACACGTCTATTTTTTCGCCCCGTATTCGTTACATGTACATACATACATATGTATATCTTCATTTCTAAATATGATGAAATTAGAACATTTATTTTTTAAAGTTTTTATCAGTAAATTCCCATAAATCTCTTCTGCAATTCAGTGATGAATGATATTTTAGCTGAAACTGGTACAAGTGAATACTCACGAGTGAATATTTATAAGTACGATGTGAATATTTAGCAGTAGGTCCCCGTAAATCCCCTCCGCAATCCAATTATGAATGATATTTTAGCTGAAACTGGCCCAAGTGAATACTCACGAATGAGTACTGATATTCAAGTGCCGGCGTTTTTTGTGGCCAGTGTTATTGTTTAGGTTTTGTTTGCCCAACTCTCGTCATCGATTTCAGTGGGCACATAAGCGAGTACATACATACTCCACACCACACACACCGCCAGTTTTATTTACTTATAATTTTTATCAGTTCGTTTTTTACGACTTCGCTCGCCCCATTGGAATCGGCTTCGACTGCCGGGCTTGGGATTTTGAAGTCGCTCGCTGTTATAACAAATCCGTGGGGCATCGAACCGAACCAGTCCCAGCTCGGCTCTGAGCCCAGTCGGTCGTAGTCGCGCTTACCAAACTTCCGCAAGGATCGATCCCGCTTTTAGCCTTATTATATCTGTGCTCTTATTTTGCCGCTCCTTTCCCGCCCTCCTTTGACCAACAACGCAAACGAAATGCGTCGCGCAGACGCTTTTGCTGTCACGGCTTTTGGGATTTTGGCCCTGCTGCAGACGATGGAACCGGTAAAAGCCGAGGGGTAAGTCCATTTGCCACATACTATATTACTAAATGATCGGATCCATCGAAATACACAGCTACAACCAGAGTATTAGTAGAATCGGGCTTGGGAATAGGTGTTGAAATATAGGCTGGAATATAGGTGATAATCAAAGCCAGTTCCCTGATATGCCAGTGGTTGGTTTCCCATCTCACTCGAGCACTTATGTTATTATATTATATTATCCACAATGATTAATGCTTATTACCACTATTATTTGCACTGACACTGTATGCTCGGTGAATATTTCAATTAATTAGTATGCATATAGACAGATAGGGCCGTTTGTACTGAACATCAAGGTAATTAATTTGTTATTTATACGCAAAATCAGTTATTAACCTAATTGCTTGTTCCATCTGGTTTGCCCTTGGTTTTATAGGAGAATCTAACCAAATATGCTCTATTTGCTCTACATATTTCAAATAACAAATGACAAACATCGTTCCTTATCACACCTTTAATTTTAAGAGAGTGTGAAGCTTAAGGATACTACTATATAGAGCTTAGTTTATCCTGAAGTAATGTTTTGTATTCAATTTTGAGTTGAAGGTGCCACCGCCACTTTAATCTCACCTTGTTGAGACGTGTTTTTCTAAAATATTGTTAAGCTGAACTTTGTGATGCTAATTGAGTTTCACTGTAAGCCATTTTGAACATGGATTTTTATATATTTCACTCAAACGAGAGGAGCACGTCACATACTTTGTTTGGCTTAATGGTTCCCTTGATGATTCTATTGCATTTTTTATGATCCCGGGAATTATTAGTAATTAGAAACGAATATAAAGGTGGGTTATATAATAACTTGAGAGTCTCAGAACCTGGAATTACCATAAAAGACTTGAACAAAGCTAATCAAGAGAAGATAATTACGTTCAGGCTAACTATATTAATGTACGAGATCGAGGACTGTAATTGCGAGAAATCAGGGTAAGCGTAAAAGGCTGGAATTATGATTAAGGAGCATAACTGAGCAGGTTTCATACTTTTCAGTATAAGATCATGTTCCTGGAACATTATCCGTTATATAAGTACATATGTATATATAAATATATTTTATAATTTACTGTCACAGATCAAAAAAAAAAAAAACATTACTCATACACTTCAATAGAATCTCGGATCAAAGATTTGATTCATTATCAATACGAGGTTAATGGTGCCGTTAAAGATTTCTAGTTCCATTTTTGTCCTTGCCTACAGATTAGACAAAATAATTTTATTTTTAACTATGTAGAGCTTGGTCAAGAATTTGTGTTTTACGTGTTGATTTCCAAATGGAAATGTTCATAGTCCGACGGATCGGAGTTTTAGTTTTTTGTAAAATATATATAATTTGACGTCTTCTTCCGCTTCCAGTAAGTACACCATTGTGGGTCCCGGAACCATCCACTCCCACCGTGACTACAATGTGGCCGTGGCTGTCCACCAAACCAAGGAGCCCGTCACCCTGAAAGTGGGCATCACTGGACCCTCCTACAACGAAACCGAGACCGTGGAATTAGCCACTGCCGATGAGTTCAAGCAGATTACCTTCAAACTGCCTCCGTTGGAGTCGGGTGAATACAATCTGACAGCGGAGGGCGTCAAGGGACTGGAGTTCAAGAACTCCACCAAACTGAACTGGGAAAATTTCAAGCCATACATCAAAATCCAGACCGACAAGGGAAAGTACAAGCCCGGTGATACCATCAACTATCGAGTGATCTTCTTGAACGAGAACCTGCTGCCGGATACCGCCGAGGATGAAGTGGTGGTTTGGTTTGAGGACTCCAAGAGGAACCGCATCAAGCAGGAGAAACACATTAAGACCACCGGTGGCGTCTACACTGGCAAATTCGAGCTCTCCGAGTTCGCCACATTGGGCTCCTGGTCCCTTCAGGTTCAGAACGGAGAGCAGCACGAAGGCGTTTACGTTGGTGGCCGGAGACCATTCGGAGGATTGGGTCCCTGGCGTCGGTCGGGTGAGCGGGTCAACTTTGAGGTGGAGAAGTACGTGCTGCCCAAGTACTCCGTCAAAATGGATGCCACGGAGCAGGTTTCAGTGCGAGATGGCGAGTTCAATGTCGTCCTGAAGGCCAAGTAAGTATTACCCGAAGTTTGATGTTTTAGGACGTTCTAATATCAGTGCTAACCCACAGCTATACCTATGGTAAACCCGTGA